AGTAAAAAATTAATTAAAAGAACAATTACTTCGTAAAGAACCTTTTAAAAAAGTAAAGTAGGAATATGAAGTCATCCTTTTTATAGGCTTGTAGTTAATGCTTGTGCGTATTATAGAACAAGAACACATGAAATGTAACTCCCAAATACTACAACCGACAAAACCCCTCAAACTTACAGTCAAATTGATGAATGCTGGCATGCAACAATAAAAATTTGAGTATTTTTTTAAAACAGTAATAATTTAAAAGAAAAAGAAAACTAAAATTGACAAGCAATTTGATACATTTTATTTGGATCAGATTCAACTTTAAATGATAAATTTACATATCGATCCAATTAAATATTTTATTTTTGGTATTTATAAATAAAAACGACAAATATGTTCTGTATTAACTATTAGTGGTAGAATTTAAGTGCGAATCTCAACGGTACGGAAAAGGTTTTATTTTTATCCCATATATATATATATATATATATAATGCAAAGTTGTATGAACTAAAGAGAGAGAAAATAGATAGAAGATAAACAAACTGATTCTCGAGGTGAAATAGCTTGATTTCATCTCCCTCAATGTAGTCAAGTTGCTTCATCCTATGTAACCTCCACTGCATACATTTGAAAATATCACATTAATTTTCCTCTCTCGACAATATGAACCATAAATTAAAAAAAATCACAACTCTAGATAAAAAAAAATAGAAATACTACCTCTAAACATGTTATACTCCTGCTTTCACCAACAATTTTGTTGAAATAAACCCATCAAACCGATTAGCTCAATGATTGTAAAAAAAAATCAAACAAAAAATATAGAAATTAAATTCCATACTGATATCTTTTGTCTGTCGGTAAGTTGATGTAACGCTCAAGCACATGTTCCATCCTAGTAGAGAAAAAATAATGATAGAAATAAGCACTTAAAATGAGTGTGGAAGAGAAAACAAAGAGAAAAGTTGAAAATGATGACTTTTCCCGGCGGAAGAATTTGCAGAAGCGGGCGCAGGGAGAGAATGCGATGAGTGCAATATCAACGCCGCAGTTGACGGAGATTTCGTTAGCTTTTCGAATAAGACAGGCTCTACGTTTGGATAATGTCCCTGGAGTTGTCGATACTTCATCATCGTCTTTCTTTCTCTTCCCTGAACTAGCCATGAACAGGAAAGAACGCAAAGGAACTATGAACTGTTTTGTTCAAACTGTGACTAATTTCACTTGTAGACGTGGGCATTTTATAAGTGGGTTTTATTTCTTTTTTGTTTTCTTTTTGATGTGTTACATAATTTTGACTAATTACCACAAAATAAAAAGAAATAAAAAATGCTAACAAATTCGCAATTTCGAGTTTTTTCACTATTCAAATTGTGACACCTCAAGCTCTAAGCCCGAGGGAGGTTAAAAAGCTTGTGGTAAATAACGTCAAACATCCCAAAATTATTAGGCGAGCTCTAAATTAATCCTTAAACTTCAATACATGCTAATTGAGTCTCAATTCATCAATATAATTCTAGTCAAGTCCTTTCATTGTCATCAAATTACATTTTTTATTAAATAATTTATTAAAATGTAGCCGTTAAATTAATTTATAGATTATAATTTGAAATGTTCAGTACAATTGAATCCATAAAGCCATATTAATAGTAAAAAGAAATGTTATTCTCCCTAAAAGTCTCAAGTTCAAGCAGTTATGTCTGCAAAGTATGCGCACATTGTCAATAATGAAGAAAATTATGAACAAATACTATCTCAATATCACATCAGACTATTAAAACAATGCTCAGTGCGATTAACTAAAAGGATTGTTTGAAATGGAAGGGAATCTAAATTTAAGAAGTTGGTAAGTAATAATTTATGATGATGTAAAAAGAAAGTCCACACGTAGGGAGTTTTAGTGACAATGCAGATTCCCCGCTGTTACGTAGTAGTAATTGTTAGTAATTCTGGATAAGTTTTGAGGCGTAATGGTCAAGCCTTTTTCTTTATTTGTTTGGATACTTCTCCGTGATGCTTTTTTTTTTCTTTTCTCAATTGCATACAATTTTTTCTTCTCAAACAACGGTAATTTAATTTTCTAAATTCAAGCAGAACATGATCTTTTTGTTTCTTTATTTATAGATTCATGAAGCATAAGCATTGAAGAAATTTTGTGTAAGAAGAACACCTAGACAGCATCGGTTTTGCATCAACCCGTAAGAAATTATAAAAGAAAGCTAAAAAACCGTTGACTCACAACCAAAAATTGTGCAACCAAATGTAAGCTTATTCATAATTAAGTGACCAAAATATAAATAAAAAGTTAATGTCCTTTTGGCATTTAACGACACAATGACTTGATTATTACAATTGATTAATTGAGTGACTTAGTTGTGATTTTCTGAAACACAATGATCCAATTGTAAACTTACAAATAATAGGGGTGATGTGTGATACAATTTACGCTTTGTTTGATCCTTATTAGAGAATAAATGTTTTATTTTAGCCTTATGCAGGTAGGTAGGGTCGTGTTAGGGTTTTCGGTGGTCTTGTACAAATTCGTATAAAGAGGTTCCTATTTTTTAGATATATTCGATTTCGGGGCAATAATAGTGGCGTTTTCTTGACAAACGCCTCAATAAATCCATCTATAATGGCGTTTTATCAATAAAGCTGCAATAATAGTGGTGTTTTTTTAAAAAAAACGTCACAATAGGTCTATTTATAGTGGCGTTTATTGGTAAAATGCCACTATATATTTTTTTTGGGACCCCATTTTTTGGGGGGCCTGTGCGGTCGTGCAGTTTGCGCCCCCCAGTTATGGCCCTGCAGATAAGGGTGAGCGTTCGATCCAGTCAAGTCAAAAATATCAAGTTGCTCGAGTTGAAGAGTCCTATTTTACAACTCGGAGTGGAGTTGAAACTTTTTCGACTCGAGTCGAGTTGATTTTTTGAGTTTATGTTTAAATTTAATTTATAAATATTTATAATATTATAATATTATTTGATTCTAATTTTAAGTAAATTTCTATAATCATATATACAATACAAATATATTTTTTCATATGTGATATATATATATCATATAAAATCAAAGGAGTCAACTCAAACTTATAAATCTATTGATTACTAAAAAATTGAGTTATTCGAGTTGTATTTTACAACTCTATTTGAACTTAATTTTCTTTTGAATGTAGTTGAATTTATAAAATTATAACTCGAAATCAATTCAATTGAAAAAAAATTAATTTTTCGAGTTAAATTGAGTTTGAATCACCCTTAAATGGAGGAAAGAAAAAACCCCTCAAATGTGTTTCTGTAACGGCTGTTTTTCGGCGGCGGACAAAACTCACGTATGCTTGAAAAAAGTAGGAGGGAAAAAAGTCAAATCTATTAATAAATAATTTAAATATTTGCTTTGAGATTACAGTTGTATTTTTCTCAGTGTTATAATTATAAATTTATAAAATTGTAATTAAATTAGTTTATATAATGCACAAATGAAATTATATTTAATGTATCGGTATAAGTGTAATCAAAATTAATTATTACAATATATAAATAAATAGATTGATAATTAGTATATATTTAAGTTTAGACTAAAAAACTTTAGAGTGAAAATTTACATATAATATTTACACGTATTAAATCATAAATAATTTAAACATTAAATAAATGATATTACATCAATTGATAAATAAAATATTTTTAATTAATAGCAGTCTCTAAGAATAAATCATAAAATTATACATGAATAGTAATTTTATGTATGTTATTATAATACATAAACTTTTAGTTTTATTCTACTATTTAAATATAATTTTAATTTTATTCAATTATTTAGATGAAATTTGAATTGTTTACCTAAATCGTTTAAATATTTTTAATTTAATTATTTAAATACAATATTAATTTATGTAATATTTAAAGAACATGGATAGGGATGGCAACGGGCCGGGTTCGGGCCGGGTATTGGTCCCTCTGTCCCTGTCCCCGTTTAAAAAACTGATACCCGTTCTCGTTTAAAAAACTGCGGGGATTTAAACGGGGATCCCCGTCGGGTAATCGAGGAAAACTGCGGGGAAACGGGTATCCCCGTTTAGCATAAACGGTTATTTAAACGGGTATTGGGCCGGGTATTGGGTCGAGTATTGGGTCGGTATTGGGCCGGGAATCGGGCCGGGTATATATATATATTTAAATTAAATTTATTAATATTATATATATATATATATATAAATAATTATTTTTAATATTTATCGGGTTGGGTATCGGGACGGGTAATCGGGGCGGGGATTACCAAACCCGTCACCGTCTCCGTCCCCATTTAAAATAAATAGGTTTTTCCCGTCCCCGTTTATCATCCCCGAACCCAACCCGTTTAATTCGGTTTTCGATTTTCTCCGTCGGGTTCGGATTTTTTTTGCCATCCATAAACAGGGATCACCATCTTAGCGCAATTAAAAATTAAGATTTTAAAGTTTTTAATTTATCGATGAAATCCGATACACTTTTATATTTATTTTTTGTTATTGAAATTTTATAAAAAGCATGAATTATTAGATTTTATATATCTTTATTTTAATTCTAACATCAAACACATAAAAATAACATGAAAGACAGTGATATAAACTTTTCAAAGAACACTATGTCCAACATACTACAAAATAAGCATGAATCAAATGATTTCGGTGATTAAAAATATTTTTTTTTTAAGTTTCGAGTTTGAATACAAATGTTTGAGCATTTAATCCTAAATGGTTTAGAGATTTTAAACAAATAAAAAAACCTATTATATAGCTAAGTTTAATTAAAAAATATAAAAAATTCCTCAAACGAAAATCTATTAATATTTCTTTTCAAGAACATCTTAATTTGTTAGCAAATCGGAGCAATGCAATTTGCGAAGTGTTATTTTCTTGGGGCAATGCCTCAATGGAAAATAAAGATAAAAAAGGAAAAGAAAAACTGATACACAGTGATCAAAAGGACAGAATTTTGAGTAAGAAATCTCATGCACTCTATGCTTCTAAGAAAGCATTAAATTGTCTCTAGCCTTACGCAAACGAGGCGTTATGCAAGAAGCAGCTGAGGCAGGGTACGATGTTGGGCACGATGTAGTGAACCTTACATACCGAGATGATGATGATTCGTGTGATTTTCTTCCTGTTGATCTTGTTTGAGTCGATCCATTTTTCAAAACTCCTTTTACATCCTTATCATCGAACATGAAAGCAGCCGAAACCGGTAAACTAGAATTGTTCCTAATATTTTTAATCAACTTCAATGGGAGATCGAAGTAGGTGTTCATAGAGTCACCTTCATCAACATCAAGGTCTGGTATTATCGTTGATGAAGCCCAGGAGCCGCATTCGAATTTTTCCAGGGAAACTGTTCTGGATATCGCATCATTATTATTATTCTCCATCATCGTTGCTTCTTTCTGGGCTTTACTTGCTTGGCCTTGATAAGCCCTGGTAGGAAACTGCAAAGGGCATTGCATTTGAAGTCAATTTCATTTCCATCCATCTCATCACTACCATTGTTAATCACATCCGGATTGGAGATTAAACTTCCATGTGGATGATGCTTGTTGTAATGAAAAGCGTTTGCCTCGTACATCCAAAGATCGTCGAGTTCATCTGGTGGTGCACATGTTCTGCCATCTCCACAAGACTTGCTTTTCCGAAACATGCTGCTTTTTAGTGACGGATGCTTCTTTACCAACTTGTCAACCTGCGGAGGCGATGTTTGGATTTCAGTTTTCAAGTTCTTCCTCGGCAAGATTGAGCCGAAACGAGGGGGCGACATCGCGGAGTTGGGAAAGCTATAACTTAAGAAGTTGTGCTTTGCAAAGGGGATGGAAGAGGGCTTTCAGTATCGGCTTGGGGAGCTAACATCATGTGGAATCTTATTTCTCCCATGGATGATTCTCGCAATGAAATTGGATCAACAGATATATGTTTCTCCTTGTGCAGGCTATCCTTTTTGACCAGGATTCTAGGCACCTCGATTGCTAAGTCAAGCTGGTGCAGATCCTTGTAAATCTCATCGAGTTCTCGAGCAATTTTGTTTGACGTGGGAACTATTTTCCGAGTAGGAAGTGCCATTGAATCGAAAAGAGACAAACTGCAAGACTTAAACAAGAATGAGACTGATCGCATATATGGAAGAAGCAGCTTATGGTAAGTGATTTGCATGTCGAATAACTTGGCTCCATATTAAGGAAATTACAGGCTGATTATCAATACAAAATCCATTCATCTTTACTATAATCAAACAATTGATGCGTGCCACAAACACTAAGGATTGGCTTTGTTAAATCAGGAAATGCTTGCACGTTCATGACTTCAAAAGTAGTCAATCTAAAATAATATTTTTTTTTAAATCCAATTCACATATGGGGTTTTATTTCCAGTTCAGTTGGTTGCTTTGACTTGTTTTAAATGGACTCAACAATGTTAATTAATAAAAATATTTTAATTTAATTTAATTATAGAATCAAATCTATAAAGATCAATATTATCATCAACATTCATTTGAGTTTTTTTTCAAAAAGAAATATGAGTTTTTTTTCTTCTTATTATACAGAGGAGAGTGCAAATTAACACCCTAGCTTGAGTTTCCAACTGCACTAGCTCAACTACATGATTTATATTTTAATAATATGAATGTTTGATATATCAATTACACATAAATTTCTGAATTAATCTAATACCTTTATCATATTAAATTAAAGTAATATATTATAAGTTCATTAATATATATTTAACAGGTCAAAAGTTTTACATAAGATAAACAATTAAATAAATAACGACAACCTACTTTTAACTCCTTCAATCCGTTCATGTATTTATCCATTTGAATTTATATGTTTTATGACCCTAGTGATTAGATAAGAAAATTAGACGAAGAAATAAGAGAATAAGATCAAGGAGAGAAAAGAAGAGATTCAAAAAAGCTTAGAATTCATTCAATCATATCATTGCCTTCTCCTCCTCTAGTACATGGTTTTATATAATTACAGTGTACCCATAGTTACCCTACAGCTGGCAGTCCTTGTTGTACTGAATATAACAACCTGCACAAATAAGAAAGTTGTTTCCTATCCTTAGTGGGTTGTAGAACGTGTCAAGTCCATTCTCAATTTCAAATCCCTAACCCTTTCTCTAATTTCCCCAATTCTCTTGCTCCGAGTCTTACCTCTTCTCCTCTGTGCATGACAATACCCCCTCCGTGAAAGGATCCTTGTCCCCAAGGATCAAAACTTTGAAACCGAGGCCTGAGAATGGTATGAGCTTCCCAAGTATCGTGATTTGAGTTCAAGTTCATCCATCGTACAAGTAAATTCTGCCAGTAAGGTTGCAATCTTATGTATACTTCTTCTCCAATTTGAAACTGTCGTTCACTTCAATTTTTGTCAACATTTTGTTTAATTCTATTATGCAACATATCTGGGACCTTATGCACTGTGAATTCTAAACACCATAGCAGAGTAGGTGGTCTATCGGAATTTACATTCACTTCATACAACACCTCACCATTGTTTTGTGAAACTTTGTTCTTCCCTATATCTTTTGGCCTCTCATTTCTCCGTTTCAAAGTAACAAGTTGCCCAACTCGAAGACCATCAGAATGAAGAGGTAGAAACCCAATAGTTAGGTATGGTTCGTGGATTGGTAGCTCAATAGACCCAAACTTATACCCCACATCTTTCTTATATTTGCCCCAAACCCATTGTTGGGTTTCAACTATTGGAATCACTTCGACAACATTTAGTACATCACCGTCTATTTTCTTTCCGATAAGAGCAATCATCTCTACCATTTGAAATTTAAGGAAAAATATTTCAATTGGTTCAGACAATCTAAGTTCTCCAGCAACTGAATATGATCGAACAGATGTGTACCCAAATAACAAACGACTATTATAATATGCATCTGCCTTCATTTTAATAGGTGTGAACATGTTACGAAGGACAACAGTCGCCGAAACTGTCACCTTTGCATCGTCACAGCCACCCCAGCTAAGCATTCTCTCCTCAACTTTCTTCAGCTTCTTTTTCATCCTGATGTCCACTTGCTTGGTTATGAATTTATCCCATTTCTGCTCGAATTTAGCTTGGTTGACTGATATAGGAATCTTTCCATCAGGACGAAAAGGAGTTCCATCCAAAATTTAAACTGCTAAAGCAACAGAGGGCTCCTTTAGATATGTAACAAGTGCATCCCTCTTTTTCCTTCCTGTCTCCTTGTCAACATAGATCTTCATACGAGGTCTTTTTGATTCAGGGTCCTCTTTGATTATTCCACACTTGGAGAACACCTCAACCAATTCTTATGCATTAACATCATCGGGCAGTCCAGTCACATAGACATGTGTATTTACTTTCAATTCAAACCACGGATCGGGAGGTTTATTAGTTTCCTTCTTATCAACTGGTTTTTCCAATAATTTTCTCTTGGGACTAGAGCTTATTTCCATTTTCTCACCATTTCCATTAACATCTTCTCTAACAGAGGCATCAGCAACAGCAACATCAGTAGCACTTACAGTTGGAAAAACTTCATATTCTTTCAAGAATGTCATCTCTTCTACTCCATAGTTCTCGTTTTTTGTTGATATGTCATCCTGAGGAACCCATGGTCTCATACTTCTATCCCACTTGTACCTGGTTCCATCATCATCAGTAAATTCTTCTTCACCTTTTGGTGGTGTTAGAGGCCTGTCCTGGTCATCAAAACTGAAGCCATCACTAGTACTTATAGAAACAGATCCATTTTTCAAACGTTCTGCCTCAGTCTCTGCCTCTCTAATATCTCTCTGCCACTTCTCAAATTTCCTCACTACCACCAGCATCATTGGATGTCACCTCCATTCTATTCAAGAGAGCAACATCATCGCCTGAGGGCACTGTAGCAGAAATATTATTGGTCTGATGAGAAATTAGAAATAAACTCAGGAATTGAGGACAATGATTGCCAATGAATTCTCCCTTCAGACCATGCAAGTTTACTTTTGGAGAGGTATCCATTTAAAAAATGCTCTGTTGTTTGACACCGTAGAAAATGAACCACATTTTCCTTTGAAGGAGAATCAACTAATTGTTTTTGTGAGTTTATAACCATTGAATCTCGCCCTCCAAGAGTCCGGATAAATCCACGACAAATGGTTGAAAGGAAGCAACTTGAACCGACATAGGCAATTCTTTATTTTCTCGTGAAATCGGTTTATTATATCTAACTAGACTGACGTTCTATTGCAGTCATGAATTAGCTTTCATGGTGCTGGTGCAACAATCTACCACAGATGCATTCAGATTCTTCTCAATTAGAAAGTCAACCGAATTCATCGAAGCATATTTCCACGTCAAAAGACCTTCATGAGTGCAAGGTACATATGGAACATCAGATTTTTCAATCTTTGCATCATGATTTACTCCTTTATTGTCCATGGAAACAAGTTTGTCCTTAGCCCTCCATCCTGTGTCATAATAAGTGGCAGTGTTCTTTCCCAATTTTTCCAGAATCTTCATTCCATCAGTCTTAAGGAGGTTAGGAGTACTTACTTGAGCATTCTCTGAAATGGTTTGCTCTTGTTCCTCGATGTCCACTAGATTTTCCCACGAAATCAATTTACTAAGCCAACTTAGATTATCATTTTGCTGTAGTCGTGAACCAAATTTTATGGTTCCAGTAATGGATGGAATTGCATCAAATGCTCTTTTTGGCAATTTATCAAACACTTGATACCCATCATTTGTATCTTCTATTGCCACATGTAACATCTGCTTAATTTAAAGGCTGTTTTGGACTTGCTCCTCCGTCCTCCCTGTCAAAATCCCCAATATCTGCTTCATGTAGATTTGAGTCATTGTCATCCTAGCTTCCAGTTTACTTATCCTATTATCTTGTTCTTCCCACAATTTAGGAGGTTTTGTGTCATCCGTTGCTTGCGTCACCAGAGTTGTAAGTTCTGCAATCTGCTGCTGGATTGAAGAAAGATTAGGAGTTTCGACCATGGTTTGGTATTTTTCTGGGTATAGCAATGAACAAGTCGCCAGGAAGAGTGACTCTGAATACCAATTTGTTATGACCCTAGTGATTAGAGAAGAAAATTAGACGAATAAATAAGAGAATAAGATCAAGGAGAAAAAGAAGAGATTCAAGAAGCTTAGAATTCATTCAATCATATCATAGCCTTCTCCTCCTCTAGTACATGGTTTTATAATTATAGTGTACCATAGTTACCCTACAGATGGCAGTCCTTGTTGTACTGAATATAACAACCTGCACAAATAAGCAAGTTGTTTCCTATCCTTAGTAGGTTGTAGAACGTGTCAGGTTCATTCCCAATTCCAAATCCCTAACCCTTTCTCTAATTTCCACAATTCTCCTGCTCCGAGTCTTACCTCTTCTCCTCTGTGCATGA